GTGCGCTTATCCAGTGCAAAGGCTTTCAAGTTTGCCTTCAGCCAGGGCTCTGGTGACAAAGCAAAGGACCCTGAAACCTTTGATGCTAACATAGAAGTGTCCATCCTTTATGCTGAGGGTCCAAAGGCCCAAGAGGTTGAGGTGCTCTTTGCTGAGATGGTGAACGCTCATCCAGCTTCAAGCTTGCCAGCTCCTCCATCTTCTGACCTGCCAACTCCTCTATCCACCAATCCGAATGTACTGGATGTCTTTGACTCTGTTCCCTTTGATCCAAAAAGGAAGTAGAGTTATGTAACTTTTTTTTTTTTTGAAAGAATTAATGTAGAAACCATATATTTTTGCTCTTAAAATGCAATGACTACATTTATTCTGAAGTTTTTTTATTTTTTATGTTTGTGAATGCCTCTGGTTTTTACACGACTACACTGTAATAATGTGCTCCTATCCTCAGGGAGGAAGGCTTATTGCCTGAGAACTTTGGACCTTTCATGGTCCGAAGCAAAAATAGGACAGATGATAAGAAGAGAATACGTTTGACTGTTTAATTAATATATGAGGATGGTTTCTCCGTTTAGTATTCTAACCGTCAAGGGAACCCTTCTTGCTATTGATTTGTATGGCATAGATATATCAATACTTGTTTTCCTTGTATTATTTCTACGTGGGACGAAACTTTCCACGAGTTATATACCATTAGCCCATTAAACAAGGATCTGTGGGCGTGTTGCCAAAGAAAACTTTTGCCCCCAGTTGGTCTTATACCTTACTGGCCCAGCTTCGGACTTAAATCGTCCGAGGTGATATACTCTTTGGCTCAGCCTCGAACTTGAATCGTTCGAGGTGCTATACTCTTTGGCTAGGAGCCTGAGAGGAATTGTATTGCATTAGATTCTTGTTGCCCGAAGCGATATGCTCCTCGGTCATGAGCTTGGGAGGAGCTATGCTGCACCGGACTTTTGAGGTCTAAAGTGATATATTCCTCGGCTATTATCCTAGGAGGAACTGTCGTAGGTCGGACTCTTAAGGTTTGAGCATTATGTTCCTTGGCAATCAACTTGAGAAGAACTGTATTGTGTCAGAGTCTTGAGGTCCGGGGTGTTATGTTCCTCGGCTATAAGCCTGAGAGGAACTGTAATGAGCTAGACTCTTGGGGTCCGAAGCGAGCGATGTGTTCCTCAACTATGAGCCCGAGAAGAATTGTATTGAGCTGGACTCTTGGGGTCCGAAGCGATGCGTTCCTCAGTTATGAGCCCGAGAGTAACTGTATTGAGCTGAACTCTTGGGATCCGAAGCGATGTGTTCCTCGGCTATAAGCTTGAGAGGAACTGTATTGAGCTGGACTCTTGGGGTTTGAAACGATGTATTCCTCGGCTATGAGCCTGATAGGAATTGTGTTAAGTTAGACTCTTGGGGTCCAAAATGATGTGTTCCTCAGCTGTGAGCCTGATTTGGAAAACTCACCAAGTATGTAAGGCTAGCCGAAAATTCAAAAATGACATGAAGCTAAGAAAGAGAGAAACTGTGACTGAGAAGTCCCCCATACATTTGTTTGGGAGACCTTCTTTCACAGAGACTCTTTTCGTGGCAACCAAATGTAGCGTGCTAACTCTATATTTACTATACACCTCTTGTACTCATATTCGATGTGGGACAAGGGATATATGGTCCAAAAATCTGGTTTGTTTGGAAAGGATAAAAATTATTGCAAAGAATGCCCGTTGGTACTAGGGCTTTGAACACAACTTGGGCTGGGCCATTACTGTTACCAACGGGCCCTCTTTGCAATGCACCCAAATACTTTAATATTTCCCTATATAAAGGTACGTATAGAAATAGTTTTATTTATTTATTTATGTGGGACCATAATAGATAAGTGCTCTAAGCTACACATGTTTGCGGTTTGTGTCCAAAAATAAAAGAAAAACTGTAAAGCGCCTTTAGGTTCATGATTTAAGTAGAGCCTGAATGTTCAATGGGCATTCGTTGTAATGCACATGCATTCTAAAGTACTTTTTTTTTCTTTTCTTTTTTTGTTTTTTTTTTATTTTTATTTTTTTATGAAAAAGGACTTGTAAGTACCACCAAAAAGCCAAAAAATTATATAGCTTTGTTTTGTTTGCTTTGTGGTAATATCTTTCTTTTGTCGTAATATCAACAGTAGGGTACATGCTTTTGTCGCAATATCAATAGTAGGGTACATGTATTGCCCTCTATGACTACAAAAGAAAATAACTAGAAGTAATACCCCACATTACTAAAGGAGTAAAGATGTGTAAAGATGTGTATAACTCAAGAAACTTTTATTATATGGGCGTAGAAACAGCTATACTTGGATAAAAAATAGACGCATGCTGTCTTTAAATGAAAAGTAGACAAACTATATCATCTAATGATAGTACCTTTTCAAGTGTATTGCATTCCATGGATGTGCAATTGGACGCCCATTAGCTTCCGCCAATCGGTATGCTCTTTTCCCTACTATTTCTGTGACTCTGTAAGGTCCAATCCAATTGGGTTGCAACATTTTTACATGGGCTGTTTCCTACTTCAACACCCAATCTCCTTCCATAAAATGTTTGAACCTAACTCGTTTGTTGTAACTGTTACGCAACTGTTGCTAGTACGAAGTGAGCCTAATTGTTGCGGTATCCCTTTTTTCTTCTAAGAGATTGAGGCTATGTTCGAGCTGTTGATCATTGTTACCTTCGAGCACCAAGTGGGTCCGAAGAGTCAGAACTACTAATTCTGTGGGGATGACAACCTCTGACCCATAGGCCATGGCAAAAGGGCTTTCTCCCGTTGGCCTTCGTGGGGTGGTTCGATATACCCAAAGCACCTGAGGTAAATTCTCGTACCATTTTGATTTGAGCTTTTCCAACTTTTTCTTCAAGCAGTTAAAAATGGTCCGGTTAGTTATTTTAGCCTGCCCATTTCCCTGAGGATGGCTAACTGCAGCCAACTTCTGCCTAATCCCATGCTCGGTAAAGAACTTTCATGTGCTTCAGTTATCTAAATTCGGGCCATTGTCCATCATGATAACATTTGGCACCCCAAATCGGCAGATTATGTTGTTCCATAAAAAACTCTTCACTTATTCATGGGTCACACTTGAGTAAGCTTCGGCTTCAACCCATTTAGTGAAGTAATCTGTGGCTAGTAACACGTATTCCTTTTTCTCCACAGTTTTGTGTAAAGGACCGACCATATCAATTCCCCATTGAGTGAATGGCCATTGTGTGCAAATCTTCAGTGGGTTGATGTTTCATTGGACCATGCTGCTAACACTTATCGCATCTTTTGGCATATTCTTTAGCATTTCGAGCCAAGTAAGACCAGAAATAACCTTGAGTCAGGACCTTATGTGTAAGACACAAAATAACCTTGAGTCAGGACCTTATGTGCCAAGGATCTACCTCCAGAGTGGTTACCATAATCCCCGTCATGAATCTGCTTTAGAATCGTGGGGGCCTCAGTGGGATTTAAACATTTCAGGTAAGGACCTGAGAAAGACTTCCTATAAAACTGATTATTGATGATGGCATATTTGGCTGCGGTGAGCTTGAGTTTCAGTGCCTCAGCCTTTTGGTTCGGAAGAGTCCCCTCCTTAAAGTAAGCTTCCAAAGGATCCATCCAGCATGGTTCGCGTGGAACATCTGGGATCACCATTATCTCCTGTCAAGGGCTTATACTCGGTTCATCCAAGATGTCAATTGGTACGATCCAGATCAGATCTTCATCTGAAGAAGACGTTGTTGCAGCTAACTGATCTGCTTCGGAATTCTCCTCACGAGGTACCTGATGGAATTCGATTTGATTGAACCCTCGCGAGGCACTCTCCACATCCTCCCTATAGGCTTTCATTCTATCCTTTTTGGGCTGATACTGGCCTGTTACCTAATTCAGAACAAGTTGAGAATCACTAGAAACTTTTAGACACCTTACCTGAAGCTGGCTTGCTAATCGGAGTCCTGCGAGCAGGGCCTCATATTCTGCCTCATTGTTAGTGGCAGGAAAAGTGATATGGATTGATTGCTACAGCTCGGTGCCTTCGGGGGTTGTGATAACGACTCCTGCCCCGGCACTAATTAGGTTCGAGGAACCATCCACCTGAAGCTCCCATTGTGGCTCAAAAGGGCCTGGCTCTTCAGGCTTATCCTTATACTCCAAGAGGAAATTAGCTAGTGCTTGCCCTTTGTGTGACACCTTCGGTTCGTAGGATATATCAAAGGAACTGAGTTCGATGCCCATTTAGTTATTCTTTCGGATAAATCTGGCTTAGAAAGAATGACTCGTATGGGGTAGTTGGTAAGAACTTTGATGCTGTGAGACTCAAAATAGTGTCGAAGTTTTCTCTTTGCATACACCAATGCTAGTATGATCTTCTCTGCTTTGTTGTATCGCATTTCTACATCTGTCATTGTCTTGCTAGTGTAGAAGATTGGATACTAATTCTTACCTTCTTCTCTAATCAATATTGCTCTCATGGCTATGCTGGATATGGTTAAGTACATGATAAGAGTTTCACCAGGCTTTGGAACTGACAGAATCGGGGGTTTAGCAATGTAGCACTTCAGTTGATTGAGAGCAGCCTGCTATTAAGGACCCCAAATGTCTTTGTTTTTGGACCTTATTGCATTAAAAAATAGTTTGCACTTATTTAACAATCGAGAGATAAATTGACTGAGAGCTGCGATTCGACTGGTCAAAACCTGTACTTCCCTGCGGGTTTTTGGTTCTTGATTTTGTATAAGGGCTTGAGCCTGAGCTGGACTCACCTTAATTCCCCTTTTGTTTACAATATGGTCGAGGGACTGTCCTGAAGAAACTGCAAAGGAACACTTCAAGGGGTTTAGCTTTATGCCATACTTTCTCAGAGTGTTAAAGACTTCTTGGAGGTGCTTAGGATGTTCTTCCTTCTTCACACTTTTGACCACCATGTCGTCAATGTAGGCCTCGACCTTCTTTCCCAATATCTCGTCGAAAATTTTGTTAACAAGGCGCTAGTAAGTTGCCCCAGCATTCTTGAGTCCGAAGGGCATGACTCTGTAACAGTAGGTGCCTTTCTTTGTTATGAAAACAGTCTTCTCTTCATCCTCTTGATTCATAGGGATTTGGTTATAGCCGGAGTATGCATCAACAAACGTGAGCCTCTCAAAACCAGTAGTGGCATCAACCATCTGATCAATTTTGGGTAATGGAAAACTGTCTTTAGGGCAAGCTTTGTTGAGATTGGTAAAATCTATATACACCCTCCATTTTCCATTCTTCTTCTGAACTACCACCACGTTGGAGAACCATTGTGGGTAGTGCACTTCTTGGATGAAGCCTGCCTGGAGCAATTTGCTTACCTCTTGAGTTATAATTCTGTTACGCTCTAAAGCGAACAGTCTGTGCCTCTACTTAACTGGTTTGAACACCGGATCCAGCTTCAAGCTATGGCATAAGACCAAAGGATTGATTCCCACCATGTCTGAATGCTCCCAAGCAAATGCATTCGCGTTTCGTCGAATGATATCAATTAAAGCTTTCTTTTCTTCGGCTGTGGGGGAAGAACCTATGTAGGTGACTTTCTGAGGATCGCCGAGGATTACTTCGACAGCCTCCAGAGACTCCTCGGTAGGCTTTTCAGCTTCGGCCTCATCCTCTGCTTTCAAATACCTGGGCAAAGAATTCTGTAATTACTATTTGGACGTGTTCCTAGGAGGTGTGATCGGTTGGGACTGTTTTGTTACCTTCTTTGCCTCATTCTGTGTCAAAATGTAGCATTCTTTGGCAACTACTTGATCTCCCCTAAGGTCAATAACCTCTTTACCGTCCGGAAACAAGTATCGCATCACTTGATGAAGGGTAGATGGAACCCCGTTCATTCGGTGGATCCAGCCTCTTTCCATAATGAGATTATAGGAAGGGTGGATCTCCGTTAAGACAAAGTTATCCTTCAGTGTCCTCTTTGCCGTGGTCACGGATATGTCAATTACCCCAATGGGGTCCACCTTTGTGCCATCAAACCCCATCAAGGGGCTGGAGGTGGGCCGAATTGATGATGACGGAATCTCTAGCTGCTTAAAGACCGCCTTTGTGATGATGTTGGCACTGCTACCCGAGTCTATCAAAACCCTTTTAATCATGCAATTCGCCACCAAGAGATTGATGACCAACGGATCTTTGTGGGGGAGTTGAACTCTGGATAGATCTCTATCGCAGAACCCAATGTTGACGCTTCCCGAAGCGATAGCGTTTACCGAGGATAACCTCCTTAGCTTATGGGCTGTTCTCAATCGGGACCTATATACCTCCTCTGACTCTTGATCATCCTCCGATCTTCCATGTATTGCATGGATGACCTTCACTTGATTATCTTCGAATTTTTGAGGATTAACCTCCCGAGGCTTCACGTACACCTTTGTTATGAGGCAGTCTACCAATTCACCTCTCAGTATCATGTTTTCCACCTACCGTCTAAAGGATCTGCAATCATTAGTTGTATGCCCGTAATCTTTATGGTAGGCACAGTGCTTGGTCTTGTCTCTCTGTTCCAATGGTTACCTTATTGGCTGAGGGGCTGTAAACTTCATTTTATTCTCCTAGAATAGCCGAGCCAAGGTTGTGCGAAAAGGTGTGAACCTTTCCTCTGTCCTTTGCCTTTTCTCGAGTATTTAAATGGCTGGTGCCGAAGCGTGCTGGCTTTTTCGGCTTTTTGAGTTTGAAACCCTTTCCCGAGGCTTGTTCTCCACTGTGACGAAGATGGCATGTTGCGCTCGGTGGGCCAAATTCTCCTCAAGCCGGATGTAAATCTGTGCCCTAGCATTGAGAGTCTGTATATCCGGAGGGGAATACTTAACTAGGGATGTATAGAACTTGGTTCCCTGAATCATTGCAAGTTTAAACGTTTCTATTGCGGTAGTAGGATGGCAATCTGTTATTTCCGAAGCCTTCATGTTAAATCTGGACAAGAAATCTTGTAATGTTTCGCCTTTTTTTTGCCTTATAGTGAAAAGGCTAGCAATACACTTCTTTTGCTTCTTATTACCGCAATACTGTGCCAGGAACATAGTGCATAGAGTTTCGTAGTCTGGAATAGATTTGTGTGGCCTATTCCTGAACCACTCCAGCGCAGCCCCAATTAGACTGGTGGGGAAAACTTTGCACATCCATGGGTCATTGTGATCGTCTAGAGCCATCTTTTGTGCGTAGAGATCTAGATGCCAAGAAGGATCTCCCGTACCATCAAACTGGGTAAAAGAAGACATAGTGAATTTCTTAGGTCTGTCAACAAGGTACACATCGTCAGTGAATGGAGTCTTCACAAGAGAATTCTTATGTTGCCATCTTGGTTGGCGTTTGAACTCTCAAGAGTCTATTCTCGTCAATGGCCTCCTTTACTCCTGCACCATCTGGAACACCATTAGACCATACCGTAAGCTTGTGGCTGGACTTGGCCTGTTCTTCCTGTGTGCAACAAGGAAGATTGTCCGAAGCCACCACCTCGGACCTTATCCTCTGCTCTTGCTGAACTTTGTTGGGCCGAGCTTCATTAAGCCGAACCCCATTGACCTGAGGCTCATTTTGGTTAGGAGGAGGCGCAGCCACGTCAACTGGTGGTGGCTGAGGTGTCAACTGAGCCATAGCCGTTTGAAGGTTGTCGTTTTGCTGTTGAAGCAACGTAATCTGGGCTACGCTGGCCTCATTCGCCTGACGAAGCGCTTCGAATTGGTGCAAGAACTCTTCTCGCATCTTTTGCATCAACTCCATCTATTGATCAGCCGCCGTTGATTCTCCGTTTGACATTCCAGATCGTGGCAACAAAAACAATTTGAAACAAAAGTGGGAGTATCTTTCTATACGGTTCTTACATACAACGTCAAAGTGTAGGTGCAAAATTTCTCTGGATTAAAATAAATAAAAAGAAAAATAAAACTCACTTAGAACAAGAAAATATAATACTCATAATAAGTGTATAATGTGCGATGATTTTATTGGAGGTCTAGGCCTCTATTTATAAAAAACAAGGTGGTGGAATTATGGTAGGATTCGCATGGTTTGTCCTCCAATCCATTCTATATATGACATTCTTTACAATTGTAATCCTTTCCTTTTTACAATTCTTTCCATGCAGGACTTTCCTTGCACAGAACTTGATTTCTTTGTTGATTCCTTGGTCTAGCAGGACTGGTTTACCTTTAATTAGGATTGGGTTGGATGTGGGCTGATCCAGATGATTTGGGCTGTTGACGTCTGGGTTTGGAAAGTGGGCCAGATGGCCTGGGTCAGCAATCTATATAGGAGCCAAGACTTTGTCGGGGCTTGCTCTGGATTGGGTTCTCCCAATTTGGGCTTGACACAGATTGGGCCCTTGCTGTACCTAAAATAATTTTGTAGTATGATGACGTGGACGATTCTTACCGGAGGGGGGGATTTTTTCCCTCCACAAAGGGTATCAACCATTTACCAGTAGACAGAGACTCAGTCAGTCGTACTGCAATGCGGCAAACAGGTAATTTGATATATATATATTTTTTTAGCATCTAAATTTATTATTATTTGATATTATAATTTTAATTAGAAAAATTATTAGTTATTAGTATCAAAATTATTTTAGGGCTTGTTGTTTTTTTTAAATTTTAGTTTATGTTTTTATTTTTTTTTATATATGTGATATATTAGAACAATTAGGTAACTGTATTATTATTATTATTTTTATATATCTTATTTTTGATTCATTGAATATGATTTTAAATAGTACATTTAATTGAATGAATTCAATTTTGAAACAATAATGAATAATCTGAAAAATCGTTGTGAATGTACTAAATAGAAATATTATGAATTAATGTTTTAATCTTTACATATATTATTTTGGTTCAAATTTTATGTATAGATTATTGCTATTAAAGATTGCCTCCACAGAAGAAAATTTCTGGCTACGCCACTGATTATATTGATTAATTAGTAAACTTTTGGGCATATATCTATAGCGTGCTAATTTATCTGGAATTTATTTTACAAGAATGAAAGCAAAGTGTATATGGGCGTGAAAAACTCTTCTTCTTGCAATTTTGCGACAGTCTACACATTCACATTGGTGGTTGTCAGTTATGAGTGTGTTGGCAATCACAAAATCCTAAAGCATGGACCTAGGTCTTTCCAACTCCAATAAGAGAAATTATTAGATGGTCTTGAACCATTTGATATTTGGTGGCCTAATTTAATGAGAAATAATCAAGGGCAGAGGGAGGGGTGGGCTGACGCCCATCCCCCAAAAAAATAAATTACTATACTACTTTTAGCCCAGTAAAAAAATATATATATTTAGTAATATTAGTCCCATTCAGAAATTCTGGATCGGTCCTTAGAAATAATGTTGAGATTTTCTTGTGATATATTAATACACTGTTATGGGACCATTTTATCAATCCAATAATCTAAATTAAAGTGGTCCACTTGAATACTCGATAGGCCCACTCAGCAGTCCCAAAAAGCTTGGTTCACTTATGTTTACAGCTGCTCAAATTTTATGTATATTAGTTTTGTATCATCGTACGTGATGTAGGCTGAGTCATGAGGTAATTTTTCATAGTTGAAGCTGGATGTAAAATGATATATAAAACCTGGTTCTCTCTTTGTTTTTATAATTTCATGCATTAGTAAGTTTTTGGGCATCAGAATGGATACACCTAAAGCTTCACGGATCATATATTTATACACAAATATAATACATTCATTTAGCAAAAACAATAAAATTAGAGAAAGTAGACTTGGGTGCTTTGAATGGTTATCTCAAGGTCGGATCGTCAAGGTACGCTCCCACTTTCTTCCCTCTTCCTGGCGCGGTTTCTCTCTCTCTCTCTCCTCCTTCCTCCCTTGCCGAAATGGCCCGATAGAAAACAAATCTTCCACAAGACTCATTTTCTTTCAAAGATTCAATCTTTATATATTAAAATGCTCTAGTGACTTCGAAGTTACTCGTATATATTACTGGGATGCACTAAGCACACCATAATAAGATAATTCTGCATTGATAAAAATGGAAAGAGTTGTTTGTGTAGAAGATAAGAGACAAAGAAGCCAACCAAAACTCACATGGGATAAAGTAATTAAAAGTGACTTTTGAAAAATCTAAATTTAAGATAGGACATGATGTATAATAGAAAAGAATCGAAAAAGAAAATTCTATGTGGCCAGCCCATCTCTATTGAAATAAAGACAATGACGGTGATAACGATGACAATGGTATTAATTCATTAAGAATTATATATAATTTACCGTTCAAATAAGAAAAAGAAAATACAGTACACAGATAGTGTTAATCAATGTTCTCTCTGAATTTAATTAAATCTTAGACATGGAAACAACCAAATTAGTGTACTTGGTCCTGTTTTTGGACAAGTGATCATCCACAATGTCACTGTATTTTCGAAACAAATCATCCATGATGTCTCTTCCAAAATGACATTCGAGCATCGACTCAACCACGGCTCTAACCGTCTTGGCCACACTCTGACCACTTGATACTAGTGTCCCCTGGTCTTGGGCACCACCATCCCAATCAATTTCAAAGGACTCCAGGCGATCTAAGAGAAATGACCCTTCTCGTTCGACCTCATTTTTCAGTTCTTCTGGGCTTGGTGTATAGTAAGGAGCATTGAAGGAATCAACCTTCTCCTCTTGAACAAGACCCTGCAAAAATATATTGCCACTTATAATAAGAAAATGCTCATTTTTTTTTTTTTTTCGAGAAAAATAAGAGATTAGGGTTGGTGTGATATACTTCTGAAACCATGGTCATTAGTGCTCGGGCTAAGAGCTCCCAGTGGTAGCAACTCTCTATAGTTGAGGGGTCTGCAGTTCTTCTGCCCACGAATGACAAGACCATCCGTCCTCCATGCACCATTTCTTCAGAACGTGACTTGAGAAAGATCGAGAAATCTTTTTGGAATTGTGAAAAATATGCCTCCAACACGCTAACTGGGCTCGTCCTAGATATATAGATCTTTCCCTTGTTTAGAGGTATGCTAACCTTGTTGTCCAGAGCTGGCGGAACCTGTTCATAGTAGTCAATTTTTTTTTTTTTTGTTAGGATTGAATGTCAAGTATTACTGTTGATAAGTTATATGTTTTGGAATAATGCTATTCAGATTTAAAAGTCTAACGTAAAATATTTAAGTATCAAATCTGAATTTGTTGTCACTAGACGTAGACCTAGACCTAGATGTACCAAGTTACCATTCTCATTGTTAATAACTGTACACGTAACTACCAATTTAAGATTACATATCCGTTAAGATGAGTGATTAATATGCAACACCACTAGCTCTACCAACTAGGCTATTGGGATAATGTCTTATAGCAACCTATTTAAGATGGGTGATTAATATACTACATCTGCTCTCGATGAATAATGCCCTACCTATTTAAGATGGGTAATTAATATGCAACACTCTCTCTTACTGAATATGACTACCTATTCAAGACTCTTGATTCACATTCAACATTGTTACTCAATAGAAAACAGCTAATTGAGGACAATTGATACTAACCATGAGTAGGTAAAACAATCTAATTGACCATAACAAGTGCTTAATTGTCTACCTTCCTAGATGATGCTAACCATAAGTAAGTAAAACACCTTAACTCACAGGACCATAACAAGTGTTGGGATTTATATGCCCTGGCACAGCAAATTCATATCTGGATTATAGTGACATATGTTCCTGACGTTTTTGAAATATTTATGCTTTATACAATTGGTGAATTCAATGTATTATGTTTTGATTTATTATAGAATTGAAGGTGTCCACTTAATTACAAGAGATATTTATATATATATGTGATGGCGATCAATACAAGATTATAAATAGTTTTCATAAATTGTTCATAGTCGGTAACTATGGATGGACTCATAATTAATTAAGACTTAAACTGAATCCACGTTGGTTGAGATATATTGCGAGAGCCGTCGTATACAATTGCTCCCTATTACTGTCATGGTATTTGACTCTTAAGTATGAGAAAAGGATAAATTCTTTTATTAATTAATAATTACTTTGATTTGTTCGGCGAATTCTTCGGGATCCTTAGACCGACACTTTGGGTAGTTATATAATTAATAGTTAAAGGGTTATATTTTCAATATTTGTATCATTGCTACTTGTATTTATTTTGTATTGATTATGGTTGATCACAAAGTAAATTCGAAAGCCTTCGTGTGTTTTTAGACAAAATGATTTATTATATATTTATTTATTTAAATTATTATTTTTGTCAAACAAATGTTTTATTGTGATCGAGTCAGAAATAATCAATGGTACCAAAATAAATATATTAATTAAGTAATCGGATTGATGGCTTTATTTATCCGATAACTAATTATGCATAGAGGGGTCAAAGTGCAATATTGACTTAGAGGTTATTTATTATTTAATTGGAGTTCAATTAATTTCTTTTAGTGGAGTAGAAATTAATTTATGAATTGATTGAATTGGGTCCATAGACCGGGCCAATTATTAATTCATTGTAGCCAATAAAATAATAAGCCCAAATGATTCTCACTCAGAGCCCAACTTGATATTGGAATCCTATTAGATTTGAGATATGTGAATTAGAGATTGAGAAAAATTAGTTGTTTCCTTTTCTTTATTTTTATGTTGCCTATAAATATACGTGGTTTATGTATATTTTAGGGGTGATTTTTTTAGTAGAAGAAAAAAAGGAATATATTTTATCTCTCTAGAAAATTAGGGTTTATGTTCTCATCTAATGGAGGTTCCCACAAGCATAGTTTTCCAAAGTCAATCATGGAGGCTTATGAGTGATTCCTAAAGGCAAAACAATTACCAAGAAGATGGAGATCCAAGGAAAGGCATCTTGCTAAGGGATCTACAATAAGTGAGAACATTCACTTTAGAGGAAAAATTTAAAGGTTTACTCAGACCTTTATTGTAAGTATTCATTCTAGTTTTATTGAATGAGATATCATATTTTATTTTTGTATAAAACTTGTCTCTATGTGATGAATCAATATTTATGAATCAAAATCATTCAAAAAGTTTTAAAATTAGCACATTTCCCAACAACAAGTACTTGTCTACCTAATTAATTTGATCTCGCCCACCGATCTTCTAACCACAATTTAGAAAACTGAAGGAGTTCATTGTTTTTGTTTTCTTTATCAAAAATGATAAATATTATTAATGTTATATTTGAGAGCATTGAATCATTGTCTTTGATTTAAAATTGGAGAAAATTTAATATAAATTTAAATCGATATTTGAATTTGAGATTATACTAAATTTCTTTCAATCTCAAATTTAAAGCGCTGTCAAATATATGATAAAAAAAATTCGCAATATTTTATAAAAAAGACATTTGAGCTCACTTGTAAACCATGTTCGGTTGTCTTAGTTTTTCTAAAGTTTATATTAAAAATTTGAAAAAAGTTACGAAAGAAATCAATTCCAAATCGATGGACTTAAGTTTACAAAAAAATTTAAAAAATTAAAAAAAAAAAAGAGTTTTCACACGCGGTTTTACAAATGCATTTTCCCTATCAACTAGCGAAACGAATACTTGGATGCAACGAGAGTGTCCTTTTCCCTGCAAGTGATATCAAGTTTGGCATGCTTATCCAAATACAAAAACACCCCTATGATCTAGTCATGAATTAACATCTCTTTTCTTTCCTTTGTAACAAAGGTGGAATGGAAAACTAACCTGAGAAAGCCAATGGAGACTAGAAGAGGAGTGCACAAAATGCAGGCTCTTGCTCGGAAACAGCCTCCCGTAAAAAGAACCCGGCACACCGGATATAAAACAGTGCTCGAACCCTCCACCTTTCTCTTCATTGAGTTTGTTGTAGAATGCTGGCAATGACTCAAATATGTCATTGAAGTCATTGCCCGGAAGATCATTCAAGGACACCCGTAACTCTGGCACGGGACGGCCAATAACCCGGCATGTGGCCGATACGATACCCACTATCTCGGAGATCACAATCAAGGTGTTGGGTCCAGATGAGCATCCCAGATCAGCAATGCCCATGCTCTCTGGAAAATTGTTGCACAAAATGTCTAGTACAGCTTCCTTGATTATTGAGTCACCCATTGATATCACCTTCCTCTGCAAAAACTAATTTTATGAGAATCAATTCCTTTAAGTTCAAGTTAAAAATGTATTTAAAGAAAAAATTGGAACATGCAATGAGATCATACAAAAATGTACGTAAATTTGGAATACATTTGATAATAAGAAGATAGGTCGGACCTGAACTGTTGAATTTTTTGCATAGCTAGTTTCTCCTTCCCCTTTGTTCATGTGAAGTACTTGTATGGTTTTCATCTCTCTCTCTCTCTAGCTGTGACACAATATAAACACTTAAATTCTCTCTCTCTCTCTCTCTGTGACACACAATATAAACACTTAAATTGAAGAACATAGAGATTTTGCTGCTCTATATATAGACCATGTCAAATAATTAACACGTGGTTGTCAAAAATCAGGAAAATAAACAACAAGAGTGGATTCGCCAAGCATTTATAGCTACCATACAATATGGGTAGAATTAAACGGGAATGGAAAATGATGAATATTTATCTTTAAGCCAAGAGAAAAACTGATTACTAATGTGAACGCAGTATTCTAATTAAAGTTAATTATTCTAAATTTTGCAAACTTGTATAAGAAAGTTAGGGTCAATAATTCAATAATTAAAATTTTGTTGCGAAACTGAATTTTAATAAGCATGCCAACTGCCTAGGTTAGGGTCAATAATACATCGTAAACTAAAGAGAGTAACGTAGACATCTCATATAGGCCTTTATGGCCTTGGCCTGTAAATGGACCTTTATGAGCTTCTAAAATATCTATAGACATCTAACTTTTTTTTCCTTTCTCACTTGGTTTGGACTCCGTTTAAATTGAATAATTTTAAGAGATTTAAAAATAAAAAAATAAAAAAAAGAATAGCGATAAAATGTGTTTGAAAATATATGAGATCATGTGCTGTACACCGAGACATTTATATAACCCTATGTTAAAATAATAAAAAAATAAAATTAAAAAAGTGGGCGACTTAAATTTTTGTGTCTTCGAGTTAAATGCAAATTTCGAAATAAGAGTCGAAATTGGTTCCGAAATAAACATGTATGGTTTTATTAAAATGCATGATATATATTGGATGGATTGTAAACTCTAAATATGTGTTATCACCCTATTTATTCTTGACTTGCAATGTCATTGTTGATTGGACCACCTTATTTAACTGACTTGGACCCGAGGACTTCCCATTTAACTGACTTGGACCCGGGCACCTTCCCAATGGGCACACCCAAGTGGGGGCTTGGTGTGACACCATTTATAGCTATCATACAATATGGGTAGAGCTGTAATCGAGCCGAGCTGAAAAATTTTGGTTCAAGCTTGGCTCAGCTCTATTTAACGAGCCTCGAGCCGAGCTCGAGCTATTTAATTTTTAATTTTTAATTTTTTTTGTATTTCGCAGCTAACAAATCTAAAAAAAAAAATTAAAAAAAAAATGAGAGAAATAGATTTGCAGCAATAAAAAGAAAGAAGTTTGAGAGAAAAAGAGAAAAAAGTGATAAATTTGATCGAAAATTAAACTTACTATAGTTGATTTTGATGGAAGAAGTTGAGAGATGCACAGATTAATAGTAAGCCCCAAAATCTATATTAAAAATTAGTTTGGATTAAAGAAAATTAATACATAAAAATCAAATATAATAAGAGAAAGAGAGAGAAGTAAGATTCCATGACAGAAAGCAAATTGTTGAGTGTGTTGCCGCTGCTGCTTGGGCTATTGATAATTTAGAAAGAGGAAAGATGATTAGGGTTAGACATAAGACATGGGCTTGGGTTTGATTGTACAGATGGACTTGTGTTTGATTGTATATATGGGCTTGGTTTTTGTTTTAAAATGAATAAATGATAAAATTGGGTCTAAAACATAACTAAAAAAATTAATGGGCTTGTGTTTGATTGTACAGATGGGCTTGGTTTTTGTTTTAAAATGAATAAATAATAAATTTGGGTCTAAAACATAACTAAAAAATTTAATGGGCCTGTGGACTAAGCCTTCATAACATAAAATTATATATTATAATTGGATATGTGTATATATATATATTATAATCGAGTATGTTCGCGAACGTTTTATCGAGCTCAGTTCGTGAACGGTTCATGAACAAACGAGCCGAGCCTACTGATGTTCAGGCTCGGCTCGTTTATGAATCAAGCCTAGAATTCGGCTCGAGCTCGGTTCATTTATAAATGAACCGAGCTCGAGCTAAGTAATTAACGAGCCGAGCGTGAGTAGTTCGCGAACGGCTCGGCTCGCTTGCAGCCCTAAATATGGATAAGCATGCCAACTGCCTGTTAGGGTCAATAATTCATCTGACTTTTTTTACTTTCTCACTTGGTTTAGGCTCTGTTTAAATTGAATGATTTGAAGGGATTTAAAAAAGAAAAAGAAAAAGAAAAAGAAAAAGAAAAGAAAAGAAAGAATAGTTTAAAATGTGTTTGAAAATATATGAGATCATGTGGAGGACTTAAATATATAACCTTATGTTAGAATAACAAAAGAAAAAAATAAAAAAAGTGGGCGACTTAAATTTTTGTGTCATGTTGAAATGTAATCTAATGAGTTAATTGTGAATTTCGAAGTAAGAGTCAAAATTGGTCCCGAAATAAACATGTATGGTTTTATTAAAATGCATGATATCATATATATATTGGATGGATTGTAAACTTTAAATATGTGTTATCACCCTACTTACTCCTGACTTGCAATGTCATCGTTGCGTTCAGGCCACCTTCCTTAACTGGTTTAGACCCGAGCACCTCCCAATTAATGGGCACACATAGCTGGGGTATTGGCGTGACACTGAATTTAGGATTGGGTCTCCCTTTAATGGTCTCCCTTTAATATCACTATATCGGATCATGTCCTTACTTATTGACATAAAAATTTAAGCGATTGGGTAGTGTTGTATACCCACCTACATAAACCGTGTACTTTTTCGATCCAAATTCAATGTGAGACAAAACCACACCTCTAACACTTGCCTAATAAAGGAAGTACTCACTTAGCCTTCCCAATCTATTAATAATAGAGAGCATATAATAAATCAGGTGGTTCAAAGAATTCGGGGCCAACGATGTTCGGTTCAACATATCAATGGGAGCAAACGATTACGATGATAGGTAAGGGTCAACCACTACATAAAAAATTGTATGACCATCATATCTTGTGAATTTCCTCAATTTTTGTCCATCATTTGCTACATATGTTTCTTTGTAATTGGAGAGTGAGCCTTTGATGACTTGGTAAGATTTCTCCATCATGACTCTCTCCGTGGATAATGTTATTTTCAATGTGGGCGTGAGATGGATGATCCCCACATCATTTCCACTACATGTATGATCAATATATGACCGTCTAGTAAGCTATCGAGGAAACAAATTATATTTTGAGTAAATTACACTAACCTTCTCAGGGGTTTCGTCAATATATGGTGACCTCCCATCTTGTTGGTCAAATTACACTTACCTTCCTTGAGATTTGTATATAAATAACACATTCCTCCCATTCATTAATGGTTAACATGGTCAAAGATGAAAAATACAAATGTTTGCAATTTTGTAACTTTTAAATTTCAATTTTACCCCTTAAAAGACGTGTTTATTGTATTAATATATAATATATTTAAGTACAGAAAAGTAATTACAAACCCAACAAGTATGACAAAGGGAGGTCGGTGTAATTTGACAAATAAAGATGATGTCAATATTGACAAAACTTTAGGAGAGGTCATTGTAATTTACCCATAATTTTTTTAGTCAATATAATTAAGCTCTTCTTGGAACAATACTATTTACCATGCACAAAAAGGAAACCAAATACTTTATAATTATTCACGCAAGGGAGGAAGTTAAGGACAGTCACAACAGTAAAAAAACATTTACATATTTTTCCTTTGATAGTTGTAATTTTTGCAAGGAGTAGTGATACTCACAGTTTTCACATCGAATACTTGCAGTAAATTGTTTAACCGAATAATTTTTAATTGGTTATTTATACCAAATACAATAAAGTGGAGGGCTTCACTTTCTCAATTGTTACATAATTAGCCAATTAAAAAAAGTAAGTCTAACAATTCACTGCAATTATTCGGCGCAAGAATCATTTTCCTTTGTAAAAAAAAAAAGAAAAAAAAAAAAATCCTTTCCCTTTTGCAAATGTCCAACCTATAATATTAGGTCTCATGCTAAAATTAATGAACCTAAGGAGAAATAAAGTAAGAAGAAACATGGTATTCATAATTCTAAATGAGATTGACTATTCAAGTTTTATTCAACACAAAAGTACACAAGTCAACTACTGAGGAGGCCCGATATGACATGGGCTAGGTGTGACTTGCAAACGCGGCATTGAGTCCGTACAGGTGGGTCAGGCCCATAAAAAGGCACTACCATATGGGCCGAACGCGCATAGGCCCATCAAAGAGGACCGGGACTCATGGAGGAACGGGCCTAGATCCAGCAGTCCATCAATATTTGTAAACCTCTATAAATAGGAGGAGTAAGGTAAAGAAAAGGGTATCTTTTTGGGGGTTGAGAGAAAGGAATACTAGAGAGAGAGTGGAGAAAGAATTTCTTGTATCTTCAATTGGCGCCGTCTGTGGGAAACGCATGGAAGTTTGGTTGATCAATGAGGAATATCGAGTAGATTCAGACCAATTCGGTTGATCGAGACTCGATCTTTGGGAGTTGGATCCAGATCTGAACGATTGTGACCTACTCTGGAGGAATTTCAGTTCTTGAAGCTTTGGCAAAAATGGCTTCAGATCTACGCAACAACGAGTTGTTCAATTGTGGCAGGATCTGACGGATTTAGAGTTCAGACAATTCAGATCTCGTCAATGGTGAGCATAATTCGGAGAATTCGAAACCAGATCTGAAAAATTCCCACTCGCGAAGCTCGGATCTACTCGCGAACTTGAGATTAATGCCTTTACTCCGTTCAGGAATAATGATAGGTGAAAGCTCCAATCCGATGGAGGCTGTCCAGCAAACAAAGCTTGAGGAGTTGATGAACTTGATTGAAGCTCTCAAAAAAGAGAATGCAGAATTGAAAGCTGGAATGCAACATCAGCAAATACCTGCGGTTTCGCATCCACTTCCGGTCGGTGAAGGAGGTGTTCAATCTAATATCGCGCGTCAAGGCGAGCAGGACGAGAACAATCAGTCAGCTCACCACCGTGATGAAAGGATGATGGACAATTTGCCGCCAAATGTTCGTCGAGTTGAGGATCACGAAGGATCGACTCACGTTGATCCGCGACATGAGCAGATTAGACGGAATGAAGCCATAACCTTCGATCCGCATCGGGAAAGGTTCGACCGAGAGGAAGTGATAGAGGTTGATCGCCGTCGAGTAGCGTCGCCTTGGCAAAGAGAGTTCATAGAGGAACGGTCGTTCGATCCGTCTTACCGGCCCTCCATGGCTACTATCACTCACCGCGGTTCGGAGGGCAGAACCGTAACTCACAGAGCTACCGCTGGACTCCAGAGAGAGAATGAAGCCCTCCGATCCGCAGCTCGGACGGTTGATTCACCATTCACCG